AAAATACAAACACCTACTGAGACCATAAATCATCAGAGGTAATACTGGGGAGTTCTGACCCAGAGCTGGGGACAAAAAGGAGCCACGTCACACGGACTGATGGCTTTTTTTAGCGAGCGAGGTTGTCTGCCTAAGCGATGAGAAGCAGCCCCCCCCGCCCACATCCCCTCCCCCCAACACGTGGGCTGTAATTACGGCCCCACTGCAGAAGGATGTGACCTATATTGGAGCATCACTGTAAATGGCCATGAAAGCCAGAGAGACATTCTGTGCTGCTGTCCATCTACAGCCATCTGTGGAAGTGAGAAAAGTGCCGCATTATGTAATTTACGTGTCTATACACTCACACACAAATATACACACCTACACACACGCGCGCACAGATCTACCCATTTTCAGGGCCGCAAAAGTGGGATCTATCTGATGATGCCTGGTTAAGCTGTGGGCATGGGACTGGCAGGGAACAGGCATCGAACTCCAACAGGCAGCCTGCCCTCTACAGGCAGAAGGTGGAATCGTGTTTCTCAAGAGCAACACAGACACCGTTGGTGACTGAACCCAGAAGTCAGGGTCGCGTTAAAGGTTGCGCGCTGTACTCGACTATGACGCCGTGCGGCGTGACGACGTTGACGAGCACTAATGTCGAGCTCCCGGACAGTGTGACTGGAGAGCCGATTCGCCCAGTTCCACAGACATGAGGTCAGAGGCTGCCATTGGAGGGTTCCGGTTAGGCTTTGTGTCTGCGGCGATGGCTTCCCCTCTCTGCAGTGCAATCTCTGGCAGATCTGTTTGCATCGCGACATTGCAGATGAAAGTGCAGCTATTTTATGTGAATACAACCCAAAGAATCGGCCAGACTGTGAAGCGGATATGTGAGCTGGGTAAGTCAGAAGCAATTATCCTGAAAACGAGAATCTCCACATCTCCTGCCTGCCGCGATGCCCAGGGGGGCCTCGGGAGAAAAACAAGCCTGTTTCCTGTCTTTTTCTTTTGATATCTTAGCTATTTTGGGGGGGAAAAAACACCCCAGGACCACCTTGCAGTAAGCAGGGTTAGACCTGAGTGGTGCCCAACACGTCTGGCCTTCTTAGGATCTGGTGGTGGGTCCCTCTCCGAGTACCTAGTTAATTCCCATTGTTGCCTGCAGTTTTTCCGGCACCCCCTGCCTCATTCCTGCACCGCTCGCAGTTATGTAAGTGGGCACAGGGAACGGCGCGCGGTCAGTGGGGGTTTTCACACCGCTGAGCTCACTGCTTCTCTGCCACTCGCTCGGTCTAATTGACATTGTTGCTATGGTACAGTACGCCCAGAAGCATAAGGAGGGCACTAATTATAGCCAAACCGAACAGCTACACACTGGCTTCGCAGACCAAGCGTGACTCCAGCAAGTCGAGGTTACATCCAGACTGTCAAAGTCAGGTTCTCCCTGAGCAGAACAGGTTGTCCCTGAACTGAATTATTATAACCTTTGCGGCAGGGTGCTGGCAAATCTAACACAATGCAGAAATATATATGTTACATTATAGTGGCCTGTTATACCAGTAAATCTTGGAATTGGTTTTATAGAAGCATTTACAGTAAATCAATTTTGTGTAGACTGTCTATACAAACCATACATGAATCACAATACAGCTTGTATTGTACAGTAATATGGAAATAATGAACATAAAAATGGATTTGTAAGGCGGTTGTTTTTTTGGGTCTCCACCAGGGGGCGCTCCCTCTTACTTACTGTGTCTCCTGCACAGATCCGGCTACACAGTGAAAGCGCTCTGGCACTGTCTTCCACTCCTGGGCCATCTTGACCATGCCGCCTGCATCCAGCACGCCGTAGCCAAAGAGGTGGTTGAACTCCAAGCCCACGCCGTTGCGACGCCACTGGTGCACTTCGTCGTGCAGCTGGTTCCGCTTGGAAGTGAGCACTGTCAGGTGCTGCAGGTCCCTCCACGTCAGGGCAGGGCTGCATGGGCCGCAGACCGGGAGTCAGGCGCCTGGAGGAGTCTATCTGCCCGGCACACGCTCCGGCTCCCTCCGTAACAGATCCCCGATCGGCGTGCCCACCCCGAGTCCCGGTGCCGTCCAAACAAATTTGTCAAATAACCAAATGTTTACAAAATGCTCTGCCGGCTGCCTCCAGCTTCCCATCAGTTAACTGGCACAATCAGGTTGATATTTTGCAACAGCACTGCAGTAAATGTGGAGGACACACTTATTAATGCCCTGTTATGTAGTACGAAAGTATGAACAGCCATATTAAGGGATGATTGAACAGATTAAACTATAGGGATGGAGACCTAGAAGACACATGGCAGTTCGGATAATGAGCCTAAGACCAATTTCACCATAAACCCGGCAGGTTAAACGGTGACTGGAAATCAGTTACTAAAGGCTAAACTCTCCTCACTGCCTGGCCCAACCACGACTAACGCAGAGCCCATCTATTCTACTCGGACTAAATTAAGTCTTCATTAAGAAGTCAGAATGCGGCGATACATCTGGCATTTCAATAGTTAAACTGTGAGCGATGGAATTGTCTGGGGGGGGGGGGGGGATCAATATCGCCACAATGGGGAGAAGCCTTGAGAAAAACCAGATGAGGGGCATCTATAACGCAAATAAATAGGGTTTGGGGAAATTGAAGCACCTGCCTTGTGTCAAGCAGGTAAATAATGGCGGCTCTTCCCTCAGATCATCCGCAAATGATGCTATTGGGTCTCGGCCCCATCTCTCCGATGGTCCTTCTGGAAAAATCCACAGCTGGATCCGCTGGCTCGCGGGCGAGAGGAAGCTGGCGAACCGCTGTTTACTTTGTGTCGTTCTTCCCCCTCTGACCCCTCCCGGCCCTAACATAATTATTCCTCGCTAACCAAACAGTGGGTACTTCACAGAGCATCCCATGCCCCCCCCCCCCCCCCAAACATCCTCCCACCACGCTTTTCACAACGACACACGGCGCTGGGCGGGGGAACTGAGCTGAAAAAAGCAGCCGATGGAGCCGCATCCGGGGGGGCCGGGGGGGTTTACCACCTGCGACGCCTCTGGCCCTGTTTCTCAGAGCCTTCATCACACAGTGACACGTGACTCTTCTTCTTCGCCAAGGATTCCATTCTTATGTGGACGGCGTTTTCCATGAATCGTATCAGCGATCTTTTAAAGGTCACTGACAGCGCAATCTAATCTTTAAACAGCCCGCTGGGGAGAGAAAACAAACGCTAACGACGCATAATCATTTGCATTGTTACTAAACCTCAACACAAACTGAAATTTCACCACTGCGCTGATGTTTCTAGGCTATCCACGCAATGCCCCTTCTGCTTCTTAGTAAATTAGCATTTCTCCCCGGCGTAAATAAAACAACCAGCAAAAAGGGTGCGTCTGCGGCTGTTCCGTTTTCAGATCGCCGTCCGAGAATCACATTCAGTCGGTGGTGACAATGTGCTTTTTCGTGTGTGTAATTCCAGAACCCGTTCGTTGAGACTAACGATCGTGTCACACACGCGGTAACAAGGTAAAGATAGCGGGCAAATGCAGACCACAATCTGCTCGTTGATGGAACACACAGTCACTTTCAATGTCCTCTCCACTCTAATCCTTCTGCCAGTTTTTAAATAACGATGCAAATCCCCCACACGTGCTACAGAACATTTAAATCATAGCAACAAAACGAATTTCACATGCGTAACATATTAAAAACATAATTAACTGTCCGGCCTGAAAGCCTAACATTATAACATGTCAGCCTCTATTCTGGGTCATATTTTAATATATATCGTTATTATTAGTATTATTATTATGATTATTATTAGGTGTTGTCAATTTGATGTTAACTTCTGCTGACCACATGGACCTTATTCCCAAAGGCATATCCATTGCTATGAAATTATGTATCATATGTAATTATACATTGTGTATTTATGTGTGCTAAAATAGTGAACCCGAAAACAAACAAGTATATACAATTGAGATTTAGCGCAATCCTTCTCCAGAAAAGAGCCTTTCATAAATGAGAATGTTATGCGCGTTCATATTTCTTTGAGGATCTTGCAGTTAAGGCTATAATTAGCAAGAGTAATGAGAATTAGCATAACATGTAGATGTTGCCATTAACACACTAAATCTGGGGGTGGCAGTGCTCCTACTGCTGGTCCACCTCCCCCCAACATTTCTGCCACCCTTTCCACCCCCTCTTCATGTGCTAGAAAATCTTCGGAGTATCCCTGTTTCCACACCTGAGCTCCTCATCACCAGATAACTACATGGCCAAAACTACGAGGACGCCAATTTTAATTAGATTAAGTGGCTAGATAAGCCACACCCATTCCTGAGACAGGTGTATAACTACAGTCATGTAATCTCCTGCAACAATCATTGCAGAACGCATGGTTTCACAGGAGAGGTTCCACTTGGCATCATCGTAGGAAGCCATCTTTCCAACAAGCTGGTTCGACACATTTCAGCCCCGCTAGAGCCGCTCTAGCCAACTGTAAGTGACGAGATCGTGAAGGTCGCAACGTCTGGAAGCAAGTTCAGCCACGCAAGCTTACAGACAGAGAGCTGATAACCCAACATCAATACCCAACCTGAATGGCAGCAAACCCCGGCAGCAACCTTCCGGAATGCTTTCCCAGAGGAGTAGAAGCTACTACAGCAGTAATGGGCCCATCGACTCCATATTATGGACAAACTGGTATCACCTAATTCTGGCCATATAGGCTACAGTTTCCCAATCCCTGGTACTGGTTGTGATCAGTAGTCCACTGGGTGACAGAACATAATGGTGGGTCAACTTTGTGTAGTCAACTCCATGAACATCAAAAGACTGGGAAGCCCTAACATCGTGTGCTATGGACTTAAACCGTGATGCCCCTCCCCTCACTAGACCTATTAAAAACAGGTCAGCATATAAGGGCGCCAGTCACGTGTTCCTCGTGTGCACCAGGTACATACTTGGCCTCCAGAGCCAGGGCGAAGACGCCGGCTGCTTCGGGAGCCGCGGCCGAGGTCCCCGAGTGACGGAGCGTGCAGTTCCCGTACAGATCCGTCGTGGCCTGCAAGAGAGACACCAAGGGTCTTACCAACCATCAAAGGGAAAAACACAAGGCACGCATAGAACCGGAGCCTGCAAAAAACCTAAAACAGCCGTCCTGTTTATTTAACTTTTATAAAATCTTGCCCTTGCCATTGGAGGGAGCTTAAAGGGTGGCCAACCGATTATTCTGTCTGCTCGTGTGCTGGCCCTCCTGAAGATTACCTCCTTTATGTTGAGCAAGCTAGATGTGACCTCCATTGAGAGCCACCACCGGCAAGTCATGACAGCAGTTCCAGTCATTTTGGGGGAGCAATGGGTAAATTTGAAACATTTGGAAAAACACGGCAATCGTCAAAGTGAAAAGGGAAAGGTCTGTCTGGTGATACTGACGGTGTTTTTCGTGAGTCATTTCATTCAGGGAAAAATTCAGCAGAACAGAAAAGGCGGTACCTGGCCATTTGTCCAGCACGTTAAGGCTGGACATGAAGCAGATCCAAGTCTTTGTTGATCTATTCATTGCAATTACTGTCATTTAGGGTGACCTAGAAACCAACAGATCCCCTTTGTTTACTGTGTCTTAAAGAAACACTGCACACTTAAAAGAAAAACTCCGGGATTTTCCACTTTGTACTACCAAAAAATCTGGAACTCCAGCAAGCCAAAATAACGTCTTATTTTACTAAAAAATAAGTGAATGAAATGACAAGTACAATGGAATGGAATATAATTGTAAAGTTATTATCATTATGCTATGAATAGCTAATTGCCATGTTTCTTCATTAAGTGTTTTTCAAAAGTTTTCAGCGAACAAGCATGTTCTGTCCCAAACTTGTGGACAGTACGGATCTGTCTGTCATGGTACACCTCTCGCCCCAGGAACAGTCCTGACATTTATGCACTGGACTTATTCCATTTAACTGGCCTAAACAGGCCGAATACCTTGATCAAATACTGTCCTAATCTTTGATTATTATAGTTAAAACTTGTGCTTCTGTTCACAAACATCATTTGCTATGTTTTTGAAAACATTTCACCACTGCCTCTAGAGGAAAAAAAATAAAATCTGAACAAGCTGTTGATGATCTAGTAGTAGGTCATCAGAACTATTAGGTACCTACAAGGCCATTAAACATCAGGTGGACCCAAAAATATCCTTCGGTCTTGCAATTCTTAGAAGTACTTGAAGAATATTGTGTTTAGTTTATAAAAGCCGGTATATTATTTTGCGCAGCCTGCTTTCGGGGACGGGAGGGAAGAACGTGGGCCAAAATATACTCTGCATTCTCGGGGGCATTCAAAGAATGCTGGCAGGATGTAGGGACAATTAGCAGCACATCCTTCAGGCATCCCTTTTCCGGGAGAGACAGGGAGGTTTCAGCTGAGTAGTCCCAATGCGTGTTCACGTATGTGTGTCTCATGCAATGACGTCCAGATCACCCATTAAAATGGGGAATTTCTTCGTATCTTACTATTTATTTTTGGATTACGCTTAAGTACTAATATTTGTATTGTACAACAGTTACATCCGTGTCTATCTATAGGGCGGAGTGTAGCTCAGTGGTTCAGGACACTGTACTTTGGTTGAAATCCAATGGCCGGCACAGTGATTTCACCGCTGGGCCCTTGAGCAAGGTCTGTAACCCGCAACTACTCCAGGGGCTGGCTTACCCTGTGTTCTCAATCATACATCGCTTTGGAAGCATCTGCATCAGCAGAAGCTTTTGACAAAAGCGACGTACAAGTGAAAAAATCTTTGGAGGCAGAGGGCTGGGTCAGCCCGGCTTACGTCCTTGCAGAAGAGTTAAGGGCCTCGATAATGCACCCAGCAGTGATGTGATTACCCTACCCGCCCCAGGATTTGAACTCACAAACAATCACCATCAGGCAGACAGAGAGCCCCAACAGGGAATCAGGGGAATTCAATAGTGGAGCTCGCATGAAATCTGTGAAATACATGCTGTTATTTCAGAGCCCCTCCTGAAACTCCATCCGATCTAAAACACGACCAGCGTGACAGAAAGGAGTTACTTTTCTCCAGTCAATGCTGCAATCAGTGCAAAAATATGGAGCTCGAAAGGAAACTGGGGCTGCCGTTCCGATTTACATTTCTCCAAAGCGTTCCCGCTCATGCAACAATGGAGATCTGTGCTCATCTTCTTGGCTAAAACATCACTTGAATAACAGAAAACTGTAAGTAAATGCAGTTTCAAAGAAAAAATAAGATTCTTGGAAAAACTGACTTCGTAAGTACTGTTTCTGATGTGCAAAAACAAAATCAAGTTGATTGAGAGAACTTTGATAGTAATGTGAAACTTAGATCCAGTATTGATGTTTCCCTGACCATTTGGGCAGGTGTATTACTCAGAGGTGGACAGTTCAGGTCCAGAAAGCAAAAATCCATACCAGGATCTTGTTTCAACCAACCAGTGGAGAATAAAGAGTCACAGTGACAGAGTACTCAAATGATTGGTTGAAGCAAAATCTTGGTATGGATTTTTAATTTATGGACCGGAACAATCCGCCTCTGTCTTTGCTGTAGACTGCGTGTCATCGTCTGCACTCACCACTCCCGCCTCTGGGTTCCTCTTCCTGCCGTTGCTGAATGTGGATGCTAGGGTGGAGGAGCAGCTTTCGTCATACAGCGCCGTGCGCCCGTCGTTGATGGCCGAGTTGATGGAGATGGTCCACATGCTGGAGGCGTAGCCATCACAGTTGCAGTCGTCGTAGCTGCCGCCGTCGCCTGACGCCCAGACGAAGATGCTGCCCTTTCCCCCGCGACCCTGGCAAAGCGCCCATGTCAAGACAGTATGGTCACAGGTAGGTGGACTTATGAGAACCAGACACCTGCAGCTCTCTCAGCAATGGTCACCGTCTCTGTCTGAAACATCTCCGTTTAATCTTGGCCAAACATTGTTAAGTACCAGTCAAAAGTTTGGACACACCCCTAAGGACACTTCGAGGCTATGTAAATGCTGCATTACAGTGCTGGTTCTAGCTGGCATGGCGCCCTAGGTGAACCCCCCCTTCAGCCCCTGCCCCCCCCTCCCCAAACAAAAATTGTGTTTATCTTATGAGATGTTAAATACTACTCTTGGTTGTGCAAAATTTGGTATGCATAACTTCATTGCCTTGAGGCCTTTTACTATAAGGTGAGTAGCACAGCTAAGAGAGACACATGCATTAAAAGCAGGTGTGTCCAAACTTTTGACAGGCACTGTACATTCAGAGCTGAGCAGGTAAACCCTTCCTGGCTGGATATCATGCCCATGTCGATTAAAAACATTACACATCATTTTCAATGACTTTGGACATTATAAACAACATTATATTATATTCTCCCCATGAAAAACCATGTGACCATGAAAAAAAGAATTTTCACATTTACCTATTTTGTCCTTTCAGAAGGCAAGACTCCTAAAGCTAATCAACACTTATTATTGATATTTTGAACCTGTGTGAACACAGGAAAAGTGGCTCATTCATTTAAGACGTTTTTCCGGATCATGGCTGAAATCTAAGCAGAGTCATTTGCCCACGGAGACCGGAAGCCTTTCATTTTGAGGCACCAGTTTTCCTGGCATCGTCTTGCTCTGGGCAAGGAGACTAGGATGGTTGTAAAAATGCAGCTCTGTGAACCTAACAGACGCCCGGGAGTCTCTGGGCTACGGGTCGCCAATGTAGTTTTGCTCCTCGAACAAGCAGCTATGTCTCCCAGATGATAACTGGAGGTTCGTCTGCACAGGACAGTAGGATTATGAATCTTCAGTCCTGTCATCTGCTTCCTAGTTGGCAGGCATGTTTGCAAAAGCCTTGGGGTGATACAGAAGTGGTGCTGAGAGAGAGAGACCAGGGCTATGAGCCAAAAAAAGTAACCGAGTGATTCGATGTGATAAAATCACATCAGCCTATTTTTTCCATGACATACTGAACACCTTTCTTTGGCTAAATTCTCCTTCGACAGGGATGTTGTTCCCCTTTCCTTCAAACAATAGTGAATAAGGTAATATGTTGCAAGCAACAGCTACCACATCTACCTATATTAGCACAATGCATCAGTGAAGGAAATCTCAAACAAAACAGCTTCTGCTGAAGGGGAGCCGCTGTAGCCTTGGCTCATTCTTCAGCAGAGCTCTTGCCAAGGCCGAATCTCAGCTGTGCTTTGAACCACTTTCAAACACCCCCCCCCCCATCCATAAGCTGATGATAAGCTCCTAACCCACAATAATGCTTTTCTCTTCAATCTCCTCTCCCTTGTACCGTAGGGCTCTTCGCTCCATAACCACGTCTATTCATCTGACAGGCGGACAAAGCTGATGGTCAGTTTTCAAAGACAAATTGGCGTTGAGGCTAAAACTGACAATTAAGGGTAATTTTATTCCTGCGACCCATGCATTAATTACTTTAATAATACACCATGCTGGGCATTTTTCAGTGGGGTGTAATTATGCAAAATTAATTGACTAGCCTCCCAAAATTCACATTTTTTAATACCTGTGCATTTTTTATGGGTTATAATCCTTGTCTTATAAGCAGCATCCCAGAGTAAAGCCAATGACACAAATCCTTAAAGGCCAGGCAGTACAATATCTTTCTGAGTCTGTTTCTTCCTGTGTGATACACTCACCAGAAGCTTTTTTAACAAAATAATGTATAGATTAAACGCGACAACATGGTCACTGCGAATAAGAACTGAAAGCCAATTACAGGCCAATTATGGACCAGCATAGGCTGCAGCAGGTGTTTGTCTCTCTGACACTGATGTAATAGGCCAAGGAAGGGAAAAACCGTAAACTGAATTATTATAAATGAAACAACCTTGAGTGAAAGGGAAACTAAATTATGCATAGAAGAAGAATTCAGCTCAGATTAGATTTTAGTAAACATGCCTTAGAAACGAGATTTGACTGGTAAGATAGACTTCTTTGGCAGTCATCTGCTTAATGGCGGGTGGAAGGTGAAAACACCAACATCACACAAGGTCCCGTCGATACCTTGTTGACGCCATCTGCCATAGCCTGGAGAGTCAGCTCGCGGGGGCCGTCCACCGTCTTGCCGTCATCGGTGGGGCCCCAGCTGGCACTGTAGATGTCAATAACCTGAGGCATGTGGCTAATGGATGATGCCTCAATGATGTCAGTCATGAATGGCTGGTCCAGCATCCGGATGCCTGATCAAGAGGAAAGGATGAGAGGGTTTATTATCAAAGAAACAGATATGAAAACCCAGATCTAAGTTCAAGACTACGAGTCCAGGATTAGATCCTTTCAGTAAGACCACAGAACAGCAAGTGGTTCCATCACTGCTTCCAAAAGAGTTGATTCAGGGTGTATGGTACCAGTCAAAGGTGTGGGAACACTTACTGAAAAACATTTGTTTTTCAACAAGGTAAGTACCCTAAGCGCACCTCGAGGTTATGTAAGTACTGCATGGGCGTCGCCGCCATTAAATCTGAGGGGGACACATTTCATAATTATTCGTCTGGACCCCCCCACATTTAATATAAAATATTAGTTCACCCAGTGCTGTTTCTATTGCTTCGCGAAAGAATCCATTCCACTTGATGGATATGAGAATACACATACCACTGAAACACCACTCCGGGTTTTGCAGGAAATGGCATCTAAATTCATTAAAAAATTTCTAGGGGAGGGTTCCCAAACCCCCCGCCAGTGTGCCCCCCCCCCCACATTCAAAATCCTTCTGACGTCCCTGAAGTACTGTATTATCTGATATGGTTCCCACTTGATCAAAACCCTGGCTGGACCAAAGAGCAAGAGCAAAGTAGTATATACTTCTGGCCGGAACTTTCCTTTAGGACTGTCGAAAAAAACTTTCCTGGTGGCTACATCTGGAAGCAGGTTGATAAAATGCCAAGAGTCTGCAATGCTGTCACTGAAGCAAAAGGGGGCTCTTTTGGAGAGCCTAAAGTTTAAGAAAATTTTGAGATTTTGAAAACTTTGCTTGGTATTTGCAAAATACCTCAAGGCATTTTACTATGTTAGATAACAGCTAAAATAGAGACAGATGCATTAAAAGCAGGCGTGTCCAGACTTTTGACTGGTACTGTAACTAAAACCAGTTAAAAGTCCAACCAGAGCCTTAGCTCAGCTTCTAAGTTACAGTGAGAGAGTACCAGGAAATAATAAAAATAAACTAAAGGATAATTTATTGATCTCAGTGGAGAAAATTCTCTTTACACCTCCCCCAACTTACTCTCTGCACATGACAGCAAGCTTGCCAGGGAAGGGCAGCCACCTGCAGGGGCAACCTGGGATGAAGGGCCATGCTCAAGGACCCACAGAAAGGCTGAGGCAAGCCTTGAACCAGCAACCTTTGGATCACAGGTACAGAGGCCTGACTCTCTGAGCCACACACTGCGCCCCAAGATTTCAGCTAAATCCCTGGGCAGCATTAGCAGGCAACAGCTGAGGCCTCTTTGGACAGTTGCCAATCCAGGACTCAGGCACTTTAATGCCCACAATAAGCAAAGTCTCTATTCTCACCCACCTTGTATACTGCTTTTGTGTGTATTAGTGCTATGCCCCTTTTCCAAGGAAATCCTAGAGGAAAGTGCTGCGGAGAGCACTGCAGAAATTGAGTTGTCACTTCTTTTTTTTATCATAATTGCAGAATCTGGGGCCAAAGCCAGCAGGCGTAATAACTGCGGTATTGTCTCCTGCGCTGTTGAGGTAATGCTCTAACACCTGGGTGTACCACTGCCTGCGTTATTTACTTATAACACATAAAAGGTGGTGTGACCGTGCAGTGTAAGTAACCACGCTGGGGGAGCGGGGCTGCGGAATCGCAGGGCGGGCTGCGGTAGCCGCATGAGCCAAGATTACCTGCGACCTTGGAGTTGTATGCCACACCCACGCCACAGATGTTGTTGTTGGCTGCCGCAGAGACCTCACCAGCACACCTGGTTCCATGGCTGCAAGTCACAGATGGATACGCCAAAATGTCAGAACAGGAGATGCAACAACCCTTCTGCATGCATTTGATGCGCGCGTTGATGCGGGGGCAGGCCCTAGCCTCTTCCCTCGATCTAGCAGGTGCTTTCGCCGGCCTGGCACTTAGGGCCTCTATCGATCTGCCGTCTTGCCAAAATATCTGAGTCGCCCATTTTGCCAGGCCCCCTCGGAGCTGCGACGCCGGCTTGGGCCAAGAATAGAGAAATCGCCAGGAGCTGCGGCTGTAACTTCCCCTGCCGTTCGGATCTAATTAAGCAGAGGGTGATTGATTTATCTGCAGATGCGGTTAGCTAACATGCTAAAACAAAAGCACAATGGAGCGGGCCGAATCAACCGAATCAACCGTGACCACAGACGGTATGCTATTTATAAACAATCAGCTGATTAGCTCATTCCCCACACACACACCTGCACACACACACACGCTCGAATGCTGAGCCAGACCCACTATTAATCAGCCTCAAATCGCTCTCCTGGGGGTTCTGGAGGCATAAAGGCATGGGTCACGAGAGGGGGGGTTCAAAGCCTCGGCCCTGGGCTGCCTTTGAGCATCAGTTCCTTCTTTTACCGTGTGCTAACTTGATCGTGTTTCAGGTGCCAGAAGGTCACAAACTGTAGAGCGTGGCAGGTTCTGCTGTGGCACCAGACAACTGGCGGTCGACGCCCGCCATGACGTGGTCATCGTGTGCCAGTCTTCATGGCAATGGTGAAGCTAACATGACTACCACTAGCCAAGAACACGAGATGAAGCAACCAATCATAATAGGGTTTTCAAGAGGGGGGGCGGGATTGCTCTACTCCAAAAACAGGTAGCACAGTCCTTGATTGTGTCCTTACTTAATCATGCCTTAATTTTAAAGTGATCCACCTTGTTTGTTTAGTACTACCTGGGACCCCAGCCTCACCCCCATTCCAGAGACTGCTGGATGTAGCAGTTCAGGTGCTGAGAGCCCTGAGGCAGATCTCCACAGCGCTACGTGGACAGAAAGGCAAACACGAGGCTCTGAGCGGCTCCCCTCTAAGGTTCGTCACGAATGCTACGCTACACTAGATGCCAGACAGCAGGGATACGTAAGGGAATAGGTGGTCTGGCACAGGACGGGTATCGCTGACCTTTTTCTGGGTACCTTCTAACGACCTGCCAACAGCCACGGCACGCACACCCGACCTTTACCTGTTAAACCAGTCATCCGTGTAGCGGGGGTAGGGATAGGGGTCATTGCTGCTAAAGTCATAGCTGGCCTCGGCATTCTGAAAGGAGAAGGGCCATAAAAGGAGAGTTACGGGACAAAATCTGCAAAAATAAAACATAAAAATAACTATGTGGAAACACATAAAGTCCTCAAAGAAAGCTCAGCTGTCACAGCCGAAGCGGCAGATCAACAAATCGAGGAGTCAGTGGCTGAGAGCAAATTCATCTCCCCCAACTGGGCCCAGGTCTGCCTCGTAAATGAGCTGGCAACTGCCCGGAGGATTTAGCATAGTGCCCGGGACGTCCATTTTTTAAGGTATGTCATTTCAGTCAGCGCTGGAATTGAAATTGGACAAATGGGGAAAACGGATGCGGGGGGGGCTTTAAAAGCCTGTCGGCCGAACCATCGATTAGCTGAAGCATAACGAGGCAATGGCTCGCAGAGAGTTCGGGCTTGGCATGCAACCTCCGACTGCTTATGCAATTCGCCCGTAATCTCTGGTGATAGCCTCAGCCTGTTGCGGTATATGATGTGCCCAGTCGGCTTGCTGCGGTGACCTGTACTGAGCTACACATACATGTACATAGCGTGTTTCGTGTCACTCAGCATCTGCTTTGATACCTTTGGCACCTCTGTGGTTGTGCACATTGATTCTGGCTCCATCAGACCAAACAGACCACTGGTGCAGAAAACACAATAGTTAACTTGTGTGGCAAGGTGCTGATAAGTGACTGACGCATGGGTGTTTTATGACCACCAGCTAGCATTTGAATTAGCCATCTTACTGCCCATCTGATGCTCTCTGGGAAATATGCACAAAAGCATATTGGATCGGTGTCCTATAGAAAACCAAATGAGGTCATGAACAACCGAGTTCGCTTGGCTCCTGCAGAAACCATTGCTTAAGAGACAGGGGCTTTGTTTTCAGGAAACGGCCTTCAGGAGAAAGTGATTACAGAAAATATAAGCTGAACAACAATCCCTTGAATGTTCGTGCCAAAACTCACTATATTTTGAACCCAGAAAAGTAAATTCCACACTGGAATTTACGCTAAGATCCTGTTTGGAATTGATCCTGTTTACGGATTCATGCAGAACTGGAATTTACACTAAGATCCTCTTTGGAATTGACCCTGTTCACGGATTCATGCATAAATCAAGGTCCTCTCAGTTCTATTTGCCTGGCAAACAGGTTCCACAGATCAGGTGTGTGAGGACTGTGGTTCTCTCCTCGCAGGTGTCCGGTTCATTTCACGATATCCTGGAAATACCCCAGATAAGGTGGGGGGGAGACGCTTTGCTGGCAGGCCGACTAAAAATACCAGGCACTGTCCACGGGGACAGCAGAGCCACAGAGCCACCTTTCAGGAGTGCCAGGTGTGGGTACAAGAGGCGCCGTACAAAGAGGGCCTGTCGACCGCAGGGATACAGCCACTTCACAGAAACGTCGCAGGCAAATCTGACATTTTGAAAAGGGGTACATCTAAGGAAATGTCGAGCGGGCTGCGGGCTTCGTCTGGAAAATTGCCTGCAAGGTTTTCTCCGTGTCTGAGCTGCCATCCGAGCCTCAGACAAAGACCCTCCCTCCCCCAACCACACCTCTAATTCTTTTATTAATTAAAAAATATGAAAACCAAGGAGTCTGTAACTGCAGTGCAGCGAGCAAGTGGACATCAGAACAGGAACGACGAATAGCAATTAGCAAATTCAGTTACGGATTTTAATGGTGAACCGTGCCAAGAATATAGGAGAAAACTGTTTATCGTGAGCGGGCTCATTCTTAAAGACAAAACAAATCACAACATTAAAAATTAATGAATACAATGTAAAATGTAAGAAAAAAAAATTATTTGTTCAATTAATTAACTGAATTACCCTCACACTCTGTGTAACGTATGAGTAAATAATGAGTCCTAAGATGTGTAATATTCTCTTTCAAACCATACTTGCCTTTATACTGCATGCTGTTTGATAAGTTTAATGAGCCCCAGGTCACAAAATCTTTTCATGTTATTCTGAACAAATTCAGATATTCCATAAAAAAGCCTTCATCCAGATGTTTTGGGGCCTAGTTTTCAGTCAAACAAAGGAACTTCTCACATCAGGTCATCAGGTCTGCCTCAGGAAGAGATGCATTATTTATTGGTGGTGGGGGTGGGGGGGATGCTACAATCTTCTCCAGCATCGCATTATATTTTCATGAGTCTGCATAAGACACGAGCCCCGTGGTGAAGTGACGTCGGTGGGTTGCCACGGTAACATGATGGAGAACGGGACTCCTGTTTCCTCCCCCAGTATAAAGACACTGTTTCGGAGGCATGTGGTGGCAGGTTGTGCTGCCTTGCCAGCATTCGCCATGATACACAGCCCCTGGCCGGCATCCATCAGTCTCCTGCCCCCTCCCCACTGACTCAAGCAAAATCAGTAACAAAATAGCCGCTAATCAGTTAATAACTGAGGGACATTTCTTCTTTTCTCATGCTGCTTCTCATCGAATTTTCTCTAATTCTCACAGAGAACAGCTCTTGGGTGACAGCCTTTAAGTGTGTCTCGTAAATGCTTGGTGACTGTTTAGTCTGAAGCGACCCAGGATACACAGACATATGCATACAGTACGACGCTCAAACACGTGGCGACATGTCAACGCAAGAGCACCATTAAAATATCGGAATAATGCACCATCGAGAAAAGACACCCTATTGAATCCTCCCTGCAATGCTTTGTTTTGTTGCGGCAGAAATGTGAGCCTAGCTAAAGTTATTTTTGTCTCCGTTTTCATCTCATGCTGCCTTGTGTCACATCTGAAACCCTCAGCGGCTGAAGGACACATGAAGGGCACCCTCCCTAGTTATTTTTCGAGATTAAAAGGCATGTCGGAGTGTTCTGGGGGAAACGAGTGCTGATCTCAGGCTGTGCTCTGGTTCGAGGCTCTCTCCTCTGCCTTCCTCTCCCTTCTCTGCTGTAACATCTCCTGGCTCGAAAAGTCCACTCAGACAAATTCGGCGAGGCCTCTTTGCGCCTCTGCCAAGGCACATCCCACTCCCATCGCAGCAGGGGATCTCGTTCCCTCATCAGATCTCAGGCTGTGAGCTGTGTCTCCATGCAAAGCATGGGCAGCATCTCTGTTTGGGCACAAAAGCAAAAAATGCACATGCACGCAGCTTGTTTGTGGTTTTTTTTAGATGCTACAATGTCCGTTTGACGCGAACCCTCGTATTTTCGCATCATCGTCCGAGATCAAGGGCCTCGTTTGGCGCCTACAGGCCGGCCGGCTGAGCGCCTTAATCACCGGCATGCTTGGCGGAGTCTCTCGTCTCATCTTCGGAATTTCGAGCTGGGAGCCGCAGTCATGTGAGTGATTCCTCCCGACAAGCCCAGCTGGGCCGCAGCCAGAAGCTCAGAACACAGCAAAAGCTGGCAGCTGGGCGGCCGCCGGACCCCATAACCGCCCGTGAACACATGAGTGCGTTGGTTCCCAAGGTATGACGGCAAAACGAAGGACGGAATGCAAGCTTCCAAAACAGGCCATACGGCTTACTTACATAATTCAAGGCAAGATCCGGGTGCAAGTAGTCAATACCTGTGGGGGGGGGGGGGGGGACACACAGAGGCATCTGCTATTGTTATTGCCTGTATATTGCACTTCTGTCCTGTATACTATACAAAGACATTCACATTTTGTCATTCATAATTAATTAGTTATGTTTCAGGATTTCTGTTAATCCTGAATAAACGATCATGCTAGTTTATGAAAATCATGTATTTTTCCTATTTGTTATTAACCCAATAAATATTAAAGCCTGTATTAATTAATGCACTAATACATGTTAACTCTCTTGTTGATTTTGCAAGAACAAGGCTCTGTTTAGTCGCACGGTGCATTATTCTAAGCCCATTGTTTAAACACAATGCGAGCGCAGCCGCAGCCCTCGCAGCAACACGCGCATCTCAAGCTCATAGCATCTGCAGCACGAACAGGCCGCCCACCGTCGTCCATGATGGCGATGGTGACTCCTTTCCCGGTGTATCCCAGCTGCCAGGCTTCCGCCACGTTGAGATCCAGTCCCGGGGTGCCGTCCGCCTGGCCCGTGTTTATCTAATCAGTCACACAATATGGGGGCGTCATGTGGGGGCGGGTGCAAATCAGCCCCAAGGGCCCAAAACACAAATGTCACCATTACAAATGTTCGCCTTGTCAGTCCAGTGGGGGGCGCACTTAGAATGACAAGTTAAATAAAAGCATGTCTTGTAAATAAAAAGTTGTGATCGACTACACAGCAAGGTGCACGAGAAAATGTTTTAAAACAAAAAAAGAGGGTGACCTTTGTGGCACAGACTATTAAAGCGGCACATCAAATAAAAACGAATTAAAATGAATTACAATTATTATAATTATACCCACAACAACAATGGCCTGAAATTAAAATCAAAAACTTACCAGATACCACTGCTTTGTGAACAAGGGGTCGTTTATGTTGACATCGATGTTATTGATGTCTCTGTAGCCTCGCTTCGTCCGGCCAAATCCCTCCTGCGGAAACACTTGCATCACCTGGAGGAGGACACCAGAAAAAGGAAATAACAGTCAGCCAACATGGAAAAATAAAATATTCTAAAAACATCAAGAAAAATCACTTTATATACAAAGCTTGTACAGAATAAACCTTGTGAACCCCCCGCATTGTCTGTCATATTTTATTGATAATTTTGACAAATCCAGGGACTTTGCAATTCAATGATGCAGAGCATCAGCCAGTGAACCAGCTTTTTGATCCAATTCACAAGGTCTGCTGGAGATTTGCTCTCTTTCGAAAATATGGAAACGTATACTATTCCAAACATCTCACGGCAAGAACAACTCGCTTCCCATGTAATCCATCTTCCCCTGCCGCTGTTCTGCTGATGGCCGTGCATAAATCACACGCCCTTCCCAATGCCTCAGCAATTCCTCCACCAGGCCCCAGCTGTGCTTTCACACGGCTTGGCAGCTGCTCCCTCACATGTTCCTGGGTACCTCCTCTTTCTCCACCAAGGAGTCTGCTCCTCACCTTCACCCAACATTTAGGAACTACACAGGAGCCTCATTTAAACCTGGCTTCTGTGGACAAGATTTATCATTTAGTCTAAAGATTCACAAACCTTGACTAATAAAATAAAGAGGACGTCATTTTGGATACCTAAGATTTAGTATTAAAATACAGCAGATGCAGAAGATTTGAATTTAGAATTCAAGGCCATCGGAGGTACAATCCAATGCTTTCTTGTGAGGTATAGATACCATAAATGTATAAATTCTTCCTAAATGTAATTACTGCAGAACAAAAACAAGTTCAATTGTGTTGTTTTGAAGGCCGATAAAAAATTATAACCATGTTTTTTTTTTGTGATTATTACATTGTGGGGACCAGATTTCCCCACAATGTGATAAAAACCTGTAACTTTTTATCAACCTTCAAAAGCTTAGTCACCTGACTTTTTCATTACGGTTATACGTATCATATTACTCCTAATTCAGTCTAAGAACATACAGGTAGTAAAGAGTATCATCAGTTCAAAGACACGTCCGATGAGTGCACACGACTATTTTCCATATGGGCCATTATTCAATCGACACTAATTTCTGAGATACGGTTGACCTTAATCTTCGGTGTCAAACAGGTGGAGAGGTACCGGGGAGCATGACTGCCTGTCGCAGAGCTCTCCCCAGGCTATCCATCATGAACCACCATCCTGGATGCCTGAGAGCGTCTGGCCCTGTGCCTCAGTGCCATGGAAGCTTTAGAAGACCAACACAAAATGTCAGTGTATCCAAGGCCAAAGCCAACCTCAACCATGTCGAACAGAAATTGTGACAACGCACCCAAAAATATCTTGATCACACTTATAGTCAAAGGCCATTTATTCCAAGAGTTCAACTTCTAAAAGGCGGCAGATTTACTTGTTCCACAAACCACAGGCTTCCGAAGGACATTTCCTGAGCTAGTTAAGAGTATCGCTGAAATTCCTTCCATTCTTAAATGAGACTGAATAAATGGTCAGAAAACTAGCATTAGCATGACAGCTACAAGATATCCTGTCTGGGATAAAAATTGGTTCCACCACTCTCTCCTGGATTCCTCATAAAGCCCACGTGGGAGGAGCAGTTCAGTCACGGATTGATATAATGTTACTCACTTTGACAAGTCAATCGCATGGTGGGATAATTCTACAGCACTCACTGGATGCCTGTTAGCATGTCGTTACTTGATATGTATTACTGTTGTGCCGACTCCAGCTGTAGCAGCTCTATTAAGTGTAAGTAACGTGAATCTTGCTTTTATGCTATCATCAAACCAGCCTGGATAAGAAAATTGCTAACAAAATTGATCATAATAAAGCCAACAGTTTCCTAACATTCTCCGAGAGGCATCTGGCCATCTGTAAATAGTTATTTTAAAACCACATCTGTCTAAGTATCTAGATGTGTTCCAGCTGAGAGCCAGGGCTCTGCATCGTACAAGACCGGAAAGCTACACTGGCATAATAGTAGCCGAGACTTAACATCAAGGATGGCAGACAAGCAGCTAAGGTAACAAACCAACTCTGCAGAGGGTACACAAATACAGGGAAATATAGTAGGTGCAGCAGTAGCATGTAACCAACCAGTAGCATGCGGTCTTGGTGACAATGACACAACGTGCAATCAAAAAAACTGTTTTGTGCTGACTTTGTAAATAGGATGTTCTCAAATCATCCTAACTCCATCCATGTAATCCTAGTCAGGACTTGTGCCTAATAAAAGTAAATCTACACAACCAACTAAGTGTCAGTGTTCAAGAGATATGAGTCTGGAAGCATGACGTTCTGCGTGGCTCGTCTGACACCATGAAATGGAGTCTCCCTCGACTGGTGTGTGAGTGTCACGGTAAATGCACATCAGCTGTTGTTGAGTGATGGATTCGTCCTATTGGACGGCACACATTTACTGAAACGGGGTTTAGAACCGATACAGAAAGCTGAGCTACCATTGCAGGCAAAACATGTCCATGTCCTCTTCTAGCTAAATGGCATTCTTGGTCTTGGATTCTCAAACTTCTGCACGGTCATGGCACCTGTCGCCTACAGCGCCACCTATGGTCAGATGGTTACCCTCAAAGTTCTGGTGAAGAGCAAAATGCTCCTTATGCTAACTGGTGCTAATCACCACATAGCACTGTACTTATTCCGCTATGCAAGGCTAGCTATAGGCTTGGAGGACAGTCAGTTGGTGGAACACCCATCCTGCCCCCCCGAAACATATAGCCATGTGTTCGGATAGAGAGAATAGAGTCTAATCAACCATGAAATAAATGTACGTAAGAGTGAACTTAAAAAACAAAAATTAAATCTGTCACTTGAGTCTTTCAAGCTTTTTGGCTTAAAAGAACATAAGTGAAAGGTCAGGTTTTCTCTCTGTCAGAGCATCTATATGGGGCAACAACGTACCCCTCCCAAAACTGAGTTTATCATTACAATCAGAGATGATTCATTCTGGATGTGTGTCTTTGAGGTAAGCCGGAATAAACACAGAAAGACCTGGGTTACAAAACACATTTGATTTACACTTGATAGAGATCACCGATTAAGCACACCTCACTCAAGGCCAACAATACGAGTTGGTGACTATACAATGGGGGCGAAAAAACCCCACAAACACCCCCCCCAAACCTCCTTCTTTCTCTACGCCCGAATGTTTGGATTATTTACAGCAGCCTGTGGTGTCAGCCAGTTCAAAAGGCAAGAAAATCATCGCGACCCGACAGAGTTTTCTCTTGGGAGCGGTAGATGATGATGATGATGATGATGATGCTACTGAAAAGTGCAGTACTCTCCCCTGTTTCTGCAAAGACCTTATTGCTTTTGTTGTTCCGTGATGCCAAAATAAAAGAGGCTCAAATTATCCCTGAACCATAAAAAGGAAGCTCACAAGCCCAAATAAAGACACATGAAAAATAGTTTTCATTACTGTCGCAACTATATATCGAAAACATTTCAAACGGTAGCAACACTGGGCCTGACTTCACTGCTCCCACAGTCCCACCAGAAACATCCATGACCTATAACTGGGGACCCGTCATGGAGCTCATTTTAGCTCGTCCCACGGGATTCAGTAACTCCGGATAGTCACAAACATTTCCGAGTAAATCTGAAGGCACTGCGCAGCCGCTGGGTCTGTAACAACCCTGATTCCGTCTCTGTGGCATTCCTGCGTCCATGTTAAAGATCTCTGTTACCCTTTGAAGCTAATGGATGTTTCATTCAACAGCTGAAAGGACAGAGAAGACAGATCATGTCTATGTGGAGATAAGAGCAAACAAGTGCAAGCAGCTCTAGATAAACAAAGCAGGCCTCTCCGTATGAATATTACTCAGCAGTGGAAGTAAATGGGAATTTAATCAATACTCTCTGTAACTCCACTAAATGCTGTTTTGGAAATGGGGTGCTGAAGGACAAAAACCATTTCTTACTTCTTCTTAACCTGACTGGTAAAAGCTCACTCCTGGCAATCAGGTAGCAGAAGTAACAGCACACTGTGTGACGGACTAGCGAGTGCTGGATTATTTCACTCACATATAATGAGAAGTTTAATTAGGTATGCTGCTCTGTTTACATACATAATAAACTGTGATAATAACAATATGTGATTGTGTGTGTGTGTGTGTGTGTGTATGTGTGTGTGCCCTTAGATGTACTGGCACCCAATCCAGGGTGGCCCCCCCTGCCCTGTGCTCCAAACTGTCTGGAATAGACTGCTTCCCTTCCCCCATCCTTGTACTGGATGGATCGATGGAGCTCATTGGAGTTTTACTTACAGAAAAATGTTCTGAGAGCAAAAGGAAAAATGATTGGTTCAGAGGAAGGAGGAGGAGGGTCCCAGCAACTAGAGGAGGCAAGACCAAGACATCTGATTGGTTGGTCCCATCTCCTCTAGTTGCTTGGAACCACCTCCTGTACAATCTGATTGGTTATCTCTCTGAACCAATCATTTTTCCTTCTGCCATTTTTGTGTAAGTAAAACTCCCATGGGCATGGATGGATGGATGATAACCATAAACATATATATATATGTATGAAGGCAGCTTTTTAAATAGCCAAACACCTAAACAAAACTAAGTGAATAATTTTTACAAAGCACATCCAGACAAATGAACGTTTTTCTTCATCTAAATGGACTCCCCTGCATAAATCTCCTGCATAAATCTTAAAAATAGACTCTTCAATGCGCGACACGTATCAAATTCACTGCAACCAAAACCATAACAACGAAAGCGTGATAAAAACAAGGCAGAGAGCTGCACTCCATTCGACTCGTGTGGCAGGTCAGGGAGAGGCCGTGTCAGATCAATAACTGCCAAGGTACATATGGCCATATCAGATTATTCATTAAACACGGGCAGCCGACACTTTCCTCTGCCAGACCCCCTCTTGTTTATTTTGCTTTATATCCATTAAACATATTAGCACTGAAAAGTGGATTACATTTATTTTCATTAACGCCATGCTAGTGGCGAACTTGGGCTGCAGGAGGCTTGCAGCACAAGTGCTTCTGCCTGTACTCGATCCAGCTCTCAAAGGGCCTAGCTGGTCGAAAGGAGATGGATGCTGGATGCTTCCATTATGCCCATATAAACAAACAGACTTCTCTCTTTTAATAGCGCGAGGGAATAAAATCAAAATTTTCAACAACGTGTCAAAAGTTACAATTCATATGTGAATGTGATATCCACTGATAGACAATAAAATTCTTTAGCTCTGTAGGTTACTGGTACTGATGGCGATAGTTTTTTATAATTGACACAGACCTGCTGGTATTAGATGAAGTGAATTGTATTGCAATTTTTATTGTGTGTTCTTTCTGTGAAAATAAAACTTAAGAAACATCCATTTGAGAAATAGTGAAAACGGGCTTATAAATAATTTGATTTCATTGTGAGCACAGATTTGAACAAATAAAGATTATTTATGCCAATAATCGCAATGTGATTTCCCATCTGCCCGAGTATGCTTGTTGACTCTAATATCAAAATTCAATGGCAAATTTAATAAATATTGAACTATGGGTTGAGTGTATTCATCCCGAGAACCCATTCCTTAAAACATTTCTTAAAGGAAAACACACTGAATTCCGCAGCAGAAACTACACACATATTCATGTCCTCCTGGAGTTTATTTTTTTTAAATAATAAAGAACAATAGAACATTTTCAAATCACTCAAAGCAACAAAACCTTCGACAGTTTAAGAAAACGTAATAATAAAAAGCCAGAATTTAAACAGCCATGTCAAACATACAGACTTGCCACAACAAACTCACACATTTTAACCTTAATTTATCATGTGCTTCCAAAAGTGGTGAAGACAGAGACGTCTCAAATTAGCCATTGTCTTCCCCCTGACTACATATCAGTCCGTTTCTATGGAAACCGAAGTGTGAGCGTAGAGGCTTACCCTGTGGTCCTTCTCCAACTGATGCTGGAGCCGGAGGCTACGTCGTCTCCTGACCTGGGCTGTGTCCCGTGGATAGAAGTGGTACAGTCCCTCACCAAAGGACACCTGTGACAAGGACAGCGCGTGGGACATGTTAACGGCGTCTTACACTAACGTGGCACAGAGGCAGCGCAGCAATTCATAGTCAGCAAGAATAAATCACAGGGCTTTTTTACGCAGATCAAACATCTCCTCACCTTGCTGCAGAAAGGGGTGCAGGGTCTCGATTCATAGTATAAAATGCAAAAATCTCATGTCACGTTGATGCAAATGTATGGCCCATTTACAAGAAGCGGTGACATATTATAATTTCATTGTGATGCCATTAGATTATTCATCTGGGGCCCTTAGCTACTGGATGCTTTACATCAGTTATAACTGAAATATGACACAGGAAGGAAAGGGTCGATATGGTGCTTGGTTATTTTAAAAATTAAGGTGCCAACATAATGCAAAACAGGAGCTTCTGAGACTAAAAAACTATCAGTTAAATGATCTATTCCACCATTATATTCTGAATGCACACAATTCCAGAAAACATTTTGGATTTCCTGTCAGTTGTTCAAGACATCCCACCTCCACCGTATCTCCGCCTCTCTTTCCAGTTTATGAAGCCTCCTCACTATAGTCTCCTAAATTATTTTAAGAAATAGGTTCTTCAATAGGTTGAAACACTGGGACAGTAAATCGTGCAAGGATGGGGCTTTTCGCTTTGGTAGGTGAAAGAGTGGAAGGATGTGCACTAGTTATAGTGGAAGTCTAGAAAAAACATTTTGAGAGAGGCAAACATGAAATGACAGAAAGCTATGCATTTAGCGGGTATTAGCAGGCAACGAACAAGAAAGGAAAACGGCTGGAAGATTCTGAATTTTGCACCAGCTGTAGAGAATGAGGGCAACCAGACTAGCTCAAGCTCCATCTGTAATCACCGTTTGAAACTCTCCGTTTAGACCGTTACACTTCAGTGGATGAAACAATTCATTGCATCCATTACAAATGTTTTGACATCTAACAGTTCAGGTTTGTCAAACAGATTGTTTCCACATCCACTGACTAATAGGTCTTCATGGGTTAGGGGCAGGTAGAGGAATAGTGTTTCACGCACATTTCGTCATGCCTGAGCTGTTAGATAAATGCATTTTATCTACCATTTTTTAAATTTATACTAAATCATTGGCTTCGCCAGTAGCCTTAGACTAGCTCATGTGCATAGCAAACACGTTTAATCACAATGTTGACTCTTCCGCCAGGACGACGGAGTAAGCAACAGAATTGTTTTTATAAATTGCAGCGATAGGAAACGATCCCCCTTCCAGATTGTCGACCTGAGCTTCAAAGAGGGAATTAAGGAAACCCATGAAATGTGGGCATTATCACAAAAGGTCGCAACACCCTACGTACTGTTAGACGGTGTTTATTAGCTGGTTAGTTGAAAAACAAACCAAACGTTATTTATAATATGCACCTCAACAAAAAGCATTACATAATAATGCCAATAATAACAACATCAACAACTAAAGCAGTAAAAAGTATAATTGTTGTTGTTATTATTATTATTATTACTTTTATTATTACTGTATATTAAAGGTATTTCTGTTTCTTCCTGCATGGCAGATGCTTTGAGCTCCCTTGCACTGTAACTTTCCCCTGGGATTCCTATCACCTTCTTTGAACAGACGGTTGCTTTTCTCCACAGGACAGATACTGCGCGACCCCTCTTGTTTGCAGGACAATTCGGTCACGAGCCTAACTTGCAGATACGTTTCGTTAGAAGCCTTTTTTTTTTGGACAGGAACACTGTACAGCCTGCGGTAATGTGGGCGACTATGCCAGCCTAATTAAACCAATATCACTTTACTTCTCAACATGAGTACTGGGTTTGTGTCTAAGTCAGAATTACTCCATATTAATATATTTATTGATAATGCTTTTCAAAATTGGCAATGACGTCATTGATAAAAGCCTTAGGAAACCTTAATATATATTTCCAACCTGGACAAATTTATTAAATAATTCATAAATTGCCAATGATGATTTATTGACACAGAGCAGGTTACTCTGGTGTAATATAAGTTCCACGTAAAAACGGTAAACGCAAATAGAACAGGATCTACAAAAGCAGACAAGAGTACATATTGTTCATATGAGGGGGACCAAATTTAAAATGTAACAAATATTGCAAGTATTTATGTACCGTATGTTTGAATTTTGGATAATAGTAGGGATTTGTAGTATATTAACTGTATTATTAAAGCTAATAAAATTAGTTATTTTTAGACCAAATGCATCTTTATAAAGTACTTGCCCTGTGAGAATCAGTCCGCGCAAAACGGAGCATCCGCAACGTTGTCATTGCAAATAACAACATGTCAGTTTACTCATTTGATTTGTTCGAGTTGCTGCTAGTACTGTGCCTACCTTTCGTGCACCGTCGAACCCGTGTTCCGCGGCAAGTTGGTGGGCTTCATCTTCTGACCCCCCCTGCAACTGAACCAAGAAATGCTCCGTAATAATCCCTTCGTCTGCGGCTCGCGCTAAAACAACAAGCGCGTGGAGTACTAAAAGCACGAGCGACGTCCCATCCTTGGCAGGTCCCAGCATCGTGCCGCGGTTTGTGTCAAGAGTGGTAATGCAAGTTAATTTTGCGAACGGGATGCCTATGTTTACGAATTCACTTGAATAGACGGATTTCGGGACACATCTCAGCAGGGATCGAAGCCGGAGTGAAGTTGTACCGTTATGTCAGCTCAGTGCTGTGCGTATAGCAAGGGAACAGGGCTTGTTTGGTATCAAATCTGCATTTCAGCCACCCTTTCATCTATAATTTAGCACGTTCCTGTTGGTCTTCGTGTGACGTTCCGCTTTACACTGCCCAATAAGCTGTGGCGGGTGTGGCCGCACGGCATCCCCCCCCCCAACTCCACAAATCCCCCGGTTCAACCTAACCCGTCATATACAGATAGATCCTCCACTTGCAGATGCCGCGCCGAGAGTAGTTTCAGCACCCTGGAGAATTCCTCCATTTCCCGTCAACTGCCTTACTGGTTCGGCGGACGTATAGCGGGAATAAATAATGTTTACAAAACACCATGTGGAAAACCAAGCAGCAATTATTGGTGTGTTGCTTCAGTAATCAGAAATTAAACGAGATATACGATGGTTCCTTCGATCTTATTCTGTTGTCTGGGTAGACATGTTTTAAAAACCTAGAAAATGCAGAAATAACACAAATATCTGTAGTAAAATAATCTAACAAATGCAAAGTTAATGCACAAAAATAACAACAATAATAGTTATTATTATGGTATGGGTGGTATTATTATTATTGTAATTATTATTATAGATAATTATGTTATTGTTATTGCTGCATTACATATATTATGGTTGCACAGATGGTTTGTCAACCTTCTGGGCACAACTATGAATCATTAATATGAGCAAAGCTCAGGTATAGAGTTAAAAGGATGTGAGGAGGCGGTTTATCAGTCACAGTGGGGATCGCCTCCGGTCTATTTGCCAGTGTTCCCTCACTCTACCCAGCACACCACATACTGTATGCCCAGTGAACGTCACCATAGATGTGGCTGTGGCTGGTGCTGGTCGGTGCCTGGGCAGTGCCTGCTACCGGATGCGGAGCTGCAGGTTGTCAATGTTCGAATTAAAAAATAGCAGCCGTACATGAAGGGAAGCTCTACTTTCACAGTGCAGCTCCTGGATTCCTTCCTGGAGCAGTCGTGACTACAACTACACTGCACTTTTGGGGTTATCACAAACACAGATTGCACAATGATGGTTAGTGATCTCAAAGCTGGTGCACCTGATCCTCAGGTAGGACAGTACCCGCACACTTAACGATCCATAAACAGGGAGCTGTCACAAAGCACTGTCCTACGTTTAGGGACCTTAAAGACAAATGTAGGGCATTACCTTCTGCGTGACCCTTTTAAACTAGGGTGCAGACCGGGAATTTGTACCAGTGACAGCTACAATTGTAGCCCGAAACGCTACGCCCACACAGGCTGGATCTGAGACAGCATGCAGCCAGCTGCAGCGCGCCTGGGGATGGCCTCATCCACGAGCTGCGCTGCTGTCGCTTATGCAAATGAAAAATGCGCCGCACGCTCAGTCACTGCTCATCTGAGCGTGGAGTGGAAAACGGGGGCTACGCGGGGAAAAGCGGCCACTTTTTATGCCCGGCTCTGCTCTCTGACAATGCAACAGTTCCCCATTGCTCCCTTTTCAGGCACACAATTTGCAGAACTAATGTACACTCACTGGCCACTTTATTAGGTACACCTTGCTAGTACCGGGTTGGACCCCCCTTTTGCCTTCAGATCTGCCTTAATTCTTTGTGGCATAGATTCAACAAGGTGCTTGAAATATTCCTCAGAGACATTGGTCCATGTTGACATGATAGCATCACGCAGTTGCTGCAGATTTGTCAGTTGTGTCTTTATGATGTGAATCTCCGGGATTGATTACAACCCATAGATGCTATTTGGGATGGAAAACTGATGATCGTGGAGGCCATTCGAGTGCAGTGAACTCAGTGTCATGTTTAGAAAACCAGAGAAAACCAGCCTGAGATGATATGAGCTTTGTGACACGGTTACGTTATCCTGCTGGAAGGAGCCATTAGAAGCTGGGTACACTGTGGCCATAAAGGGACGGATACAGTCAGCAACAATGCTCAGGTAGGCTGTGGCATTTAAACGATGTTCAGTTGGTGCTAAGGGGCCAAAGCGTGCTAAGTAGAGATCCCCCGCACCTGCAGCCTGAATTGTTGATACCAGGCAGGATGAATCCATGCTTTCAGGTTTTTTATGCCAAAGTCTGACCCTACCATCTGAATGCCGCAGGAGAAATCGAGACTAATGTGACCAGGCAGACAATTTTCCATTGTCGAATTTTGCTGAGCTGTGCCCACCGTCGGCCCAGTCTTCCTGTTCTTAGCTGACAGGAGTGGCACCAGGGGTGGTCTTCTGCTGCTGTAGCCCATCTGCTTCAATGTAACAACGCGTTGCGCATTCAGAGACTCTCTTTTGCATACCTCAGTTGTATCGAGTAGTTATTTGACTGTCTATCAGCTTGAAGCAGTCTGGCCATTCTTCTCTGACCTCTGCCATCAACGAGGCATTTTCACCTTTCGCCCCTCAGTGGATGTTTTCTCTTTTTCAGCCCATTCTCTGTAAACCCTAGAGATGGTTGTGCGTGAAAATCTCAATAGATCAACAGTTTCTGAAATGCTTACGCTAGCACATCTGCCACCAGCAACCGTGCCACGATTAAAGTCACTTAAATCACGTCCCTTCCCATTCTGGTGTTTCATGTGAACAATAAGTGAAGGTCTTGGCCTGTATCTGCATGATTTTATACTTTGTGCTGCTGACATATGCTTGGCTGATGAAAAAACAGTTGCACAGGTGTACCTAATACAGTGGCCAGTGAAAATACAATAGCGATTGCATTCGGCCTGTATGCGTTTGATTCTTCCATTGTATTGCTTATCTTTTCCTTCAGTCAAACCAAGAATCTGATTTTGTTCATGAACAAACAAAAATGCACATAAATAATGTTATTCCGTCAAGCTGTCTGTCTCAGCCAAAGTTCACTGTAATTGTAAAATAACTGCTGGGATAGAACAGCCCGGTAAACAGAGAGGAAGATTTGGACCTGCTACACAATTTCAAATGACCTGTGAAATTAAATTTTCCTGGACTGCAAAGGTTTGGAGACCACGAGAGGTGCAGTGTTAGACCGCTCTTACTACATGCACAAATGATATGTGTCATATTGAGTAATTTCTTTTTTCCCCTCATATGAAAAAGAGGAAATTGCTGGTGGTGGAAAATCATGTTGCCCTGCGCTGGAATCTCATTATAGCTAGTTATTTATAATTCATATATACAACAAAATGTATAACTTTTAGGATTGGTAGCTATAGAAACCTCAGGAAAGTATTTAGGTAAAAAAACAGTCTGAAAGTTATAGAAGACGTTAATTTGTATTCTGAGATTTTTGGACATGCCTAGCACAAAAATATAATAAGCATATCTTTTGTATGGTTGTTATGTTCCCAGGAACATATGATGCATCTTTTGATATTAGGAAGCAGAAATGTGTTTTCATTCCTGCCTGATAGTCTGTTACACAGTAAGCAGTCAAGATTTATAGCTGCCCTCTAATCAAGCTGTGACTTGACCGCCATTTTTCTGAAATTAAATTTTCCTGTTTCTAAATTATTTGTGCTCATTTCATTGATCTTTTGCAGGGAATAAGATGAAATAAGTCCTAGTGCTGGACTCAATAAAACCACTCGAGTCCTGTGTTAGTCTGCGTTGTTTTCATTCATAAATGACCCAGTGAAGACTCACAGATTAAATCGCATTTTGTCTGATGCAGCTGTGGCACGTTTTGTTTGTACACCGGAGTCAGTATGAGTCTGAAAGTTAATTATTAAACCAAATATTGAATATGGTGCAAAATCTGAATGTAGGATTATGTGGGTTAACTGATTCAATGTTATCCATCTAGGCATCATTAGTGCATCGGCAATGAATGGTGGCAGTGAAAATGGTGTAATATAAACAATCACAAAGGGGGTGGAATGATTCAGAGGTACCATTAGTTTTTGTGATACCAGGACATGAACAAACTAATGGTTCCAACGTAGTGTTGTAAATATGGTAGGTCATGTGTATCTGTTCATTGTACAGTACCAGTGTTCACTTTGATGTGTCTGACTATATACAAATATGCTAACTGCATATTTGTATATTTACAGAACAAGAATCTTCATCTTTCCTTTGCTTGCATCTGTTGTATTTGTGAAATGTTGCCTTGCATCTGGAGAAGATTGTATCTGAGGAAAGCGTGTTGAGGGAGACAAGCTGGGATTGGCAGTGTCCAGTCAGTGACTGAGGTCATAGGGTAAACGCATCTCAATTACGCTACTTGGGGCAAAGCTCTCCAGGATGAGCAGGCAGTCGAGCCTTAGCGTTTCCTCTCCACCCAGGCCTGTCAGTCGATATGAAGGAGTCGTCCATCAATCCTCCGAGCCATGACGCCACGCTGGACTGGACGTCTCCCACTCCCAACTCACACGCAAGCTCCATCCCACAGAAACCTTCATACTGGGAACCCTGTGCTGATCCATTGTACAACAAAAGTTGACTTGTCATATTACATACAGTATGTCATATTTCCACAATAAATCCAGCTTTCGTTTCCGCACGCACTGCCATAAAAGAGTGTGTGGAATTTCATTAGAATGGATAGACAGGATTTTATTTAAAAAAATACTCATGATTAGTTAATGCCAGAGGAATGCCTGATTTTACAACTAATGAAGTTCAGCTAATGAGCCCCATGGGGGCTGTATCTTTATCTTCTGCTCTAACTGGCTTTACATTTTTATTAAATTGCTCTACTGCTGACCTTTTTCCAGTGTGACTCACAGAGCAGGACTGTGTATCAGCTAAAACCAACCTGTTAAAGTATTCCAGTGTAATTACAGTCCCCTGTAACCATAATCTTCCATAACCAGTCTGGCTCCTAAACCATTGCTCCACCTGCTGGCCGCCGATGGCTTCTTTGACCTTCTTCTGTGGGGCCACGAATCATTCTGTCTTGTACATAATGCCCTTCTCCTGGCACTAGCTGAACCCTGCCATCAAAGCTCAGAAGCACAGAAACCCATCTGCCAGGGTCTGTACCTTGACGGCCTTAAAGGTCCGAGTCCACTTCTCTAGGATTTATGACGTGAAACGTGTGAATCACCCAGAGGTTGCCAGTTGAAAGCTTTACCGTGTTACAAAACAAATGTCTCACTGGGAAACATATACGATGGGGTGCCT